CCATTATCTTTTCGCTCTGTTTCCCCACACTTCTGAAACCCCCCTGTATATAAATCCGATCAAGGCCAGAATAGTGATTTAAAACTGTCACTGGTTTACCTCCCCGGGGAAACTGAAACAGTGCTTTATCTTGGTCTGCGGCCGCACCCACCTTCTCAACCTCTATAGCCCTCCAGATCCGTTCTTGTCCTCTGCTACTACCCTGGCTTTCAGATTCCTTCCCATCCTTGCCTCCCCTTGTTGTTGTCTATTGGGATTCTCCCAATGGTTTGGATTATTTCCTTCAGGTGCTTTGTCATTGCAAATCTCATGTGCATACTCTTTCCAGTTTGACACTTCTCTGGGATTTTCCAACGCCAAGTTCACTTGGTTGAAGACATCCTACCCACCCAGTCTCCCCATCAGCTGGACACCCCAGTCTGCTGGTAGTGTCAAGTACAATACCACTGGGAAAGCACTTGCCGGGAAGTCCCCAGAAGAGTGTCTCTTTTGTTTTCCTTCGTCATTTGCCTGTCTGACTTACTTGCACCTCTTACCATCTCTGTTGGTGTGTGCCACTCTGTGGTGGCTTGTATGTTGCTGAGATGGTGGAAACTATGTCATGGCCATTTCAACTCTCAGAAGCTTTGATAATGATGCATAGGCTCAGCAAAAGTTGCACGTTACGGCAGACTAGAAAGAAAAACATGGAGACCTACTCCCCCAAATTAGCCAGTGAACATCCTATGGATCATAAACAATGAAAACAAACTCACCGCTATCAAGTCAGTGCTGACCCATAGTGACCCTGTGTGGGTTTCTCAGACTGCAACTGTTCGTGGGAATAGAAAGCCCAGTCTTTCTCCTGCGGAGCTGCTGACGATTTCGAGCTGCCGACGATTCAGACCGTAGCCCAATGCGTAACCACTAACTACATCTCCAGGGCTCCTCTATGGATCCCAACAGAATATGATGTGATGTTATCTGACTTAGACATACTGACGTTCATGCAAATGGTTCAGGCCTGCTCAAGGCTTCATTTTGTTGTGCGCGGATTTGCTGTGAGTCTGAACAGCTCAATGGCGATGAAAACATTTGGTTTCATCTGCTTTGACATACCGTACTTGAACATTCGATACTTGATCCACACTGGACCATGGTATACACTGACCCAGGTGCATCACTAGGGTTGGTGCTGTCCAATATGGTCATCAATGGTGTCAGTCTCCTCCTGTCTCCCACCCACCAATGTCATTCCCCTGCTGCCCCCCACGATCCACAGAGTCCTTAGGAATGCTTATTATCAATTTCCATTATAGAATAAACTCTGATAGTTGTAGTTGTACATTGCTTAGATGTAATAATTCTATGATCATATGAATACTAAAACAAGATTACTTTGCAAAATCCTTCTACATAGAATTACAACATTATTAGTAACTGGCTGGAAGCCTTTAAGTGTTTTCTCCTTCTTTTCCTTTAAATTCTTTCTTTAGTATCAAAGAGCGGTTGATAATAGGTTCACAAATATACAGAGTTCTGCTGAAACACCACACAAAACTTTTATAGACAGTTGGCCTGGTCCCCTAGGGATGCCACTGCATTGACCCTTGCATTGGCGGATTAGTTGAGGAACGGCATCCGGGTTTCTAATGATGGTTACTGGCTGAAGAGATGCTGGATGAAGCTGAACAGAATTTGACCTTGGTGTGCCACAGCCAGTGCCTGCCTCAGGCAAGGGCAGACGAGGTTGAATCGCGCACTTAGAGATAGCCATCTCTGGATTAAAAATGTCTTCCTTTCTTCAAGGCCTGATACCTTAACTGCAAATATCTCACAATATCTATTTGCGTTCCTTTCTTCAACTTCCAGTCTTTTAGTACAGAAGTGATTTCTAACGCATTAGCGATTCCCATGCATATTTGCTGCGCAAATATCTGTAAAGCAGAAATGGTAGGAACGGCATGTCTTTTCTCCAGTGAGGTCCTGTGCTGCCATTGCCTTTGGCAGAATCCATTTGGTGGTTGCAGTTTGGGAGTTTCATCCATCTTCCTAGCTTTAGGTGGGCACCAGAGTAGTTTCTGGATTGAATGTTGTCTGAAAAACTGTCCTCACAAATTCAAAAGGCTTTTCTTCTCTGTTTTTCATCTTTCACCTGCAGTTACTGATTTCTTAGAATAAAAGAATCAGTTTTATTGATGAAATGTGAATTCCTATAACATAGAGTCACGGTTAGCCTGCAGAATTGAGTCTGGTCTCTGTACAAAACCTGGCACCTCTCCATAGGATATTCTTATGTATACTAGGGGATACCCCACAAAACTGGATTTTCCCCCTTTCGCAAAGATATGTATTTAAAAATTTTAAATAAAACCTTATCACTTTCAAAGTACTCTCCATTACACTTATTACATTTGTCAAATCTGTGATTCCATTCTTGGAAACATTTTTCAAACTCTTCTGTTTGGATGGCTGACAGCATCTCTCTTGTTTTTTCTTGACCTCTTCTATGTCATCAAATCGCTGACTTTTCATGTCCCTCTTCATTCGTAGAAACAAAAAAGAAGATGTACGGAGTGAGGCCATGTGCATGGGGCAAGAGAGGCATGCTGATTTTTTGCCCAAAACTGGTGCACTGAGATGGCTGTGTGAGCAGGTGCATTGCTGTAGTGGCAAAACCAGTCCCCTGTCTACCACAAATCAGGCCTTTTTTTTTTTAAACATTTTATTAGGGGCTCATACAACTGTTATCGCAATCCACACACACATCGATTGTGTGAAGCGCATTTGTACATTATTCTCAAAACATTTTCTCTCCACTTAAACCCCCGACATTAGGTCCTCATTTTTCCCCTCCCACCCCGCTCCCCCTTCCCTCATGAGCCCTTGATAGTTTATAAATGGGTATTTTGTCATATCTTGCCCTGTCCGACGTCTTCCTTCACCCACTTTTTGGTTGTCTGTCCCCCAGGGAGGAGGTCACATATAGTTGCTTGTAATCGGTTCCCTCTTTCCTACCCACTCTCCCTTTACCCTCCCTGTTTCGCCACTCACACCACTGGTCCTGTAGGGCTCATCCGCCCTGGAGTCCCTGTATTTTCAATTTCAATTTCAATTCCTATCTGTACCAGTGTACAGGCCTTTTTTATTGCACAGTTACACAATCTTTTCAGAACTTCTAAATAGAAAATTTGATCAACAATCTGACCTGATGGAACAAACTTCCTATGCACTGTTGACATTTTTGTCCGTTTGGGAAGTAGACAGATGTCCAGAAGAAGGTTTGTCATCAGTGGACATGACACCTTTTTTGAAAGGGGAAAACCACTTGTACACTTGAGTTTTTCCCACAGTGCTGTCCTTGTAAGCTGTGTTCAACATCACACCAGTTTCTGGGACATTTTTCCCGGGCAGGAAATAAAACACAGCTACATGCTGTTCTTTTAAATCGGTCATCACAAAAAATGAGGTTCGAGTGGAGCTGCTTTTACCAAAAACAATTTCACTGTGAGCAGGGAGAATCTTTCCAGGCAACGCCATGGGGTGCACTAACTCAGGTTGAGTTGCTGGATGCTTGCCTATGCATACTATGAAAGCTTCACAGGCTCAGAACAATTCAGTTTGGGGGGCTACGCCCTCATATGCACTGCGTTATTTCCTAATAGGCCTCATCTTCCAAGAAAGTACAACTCAACTTACCTTATAGTGAAAGAGGAACAAACCACAGAACAGACTGTACAAATCTGCTGTGAGCAGAGAGAGGTTGACCGAAGTGGCGCTGGTTTTCTTGATGACAATCGGCATAAAGCTGTACAGACCAAACATGCAGGCACTAAAACCAACGTAGAGCAGTCCTGCGAGGATGGGAAGAGGAGGGAGAGGATAGGGTCAGAGCATTGTTAGCATCTACAGTGGGTGAACAAGGAGGAACAGAACACATCACTTACCACTCACTAATGGTAGATTTCCACTCACGGTGTTTACCAATGTTTATTACTAGGCAATGGACAGCTGAGACATAACATTCAATTTGCTTGTGGAAAATGAAGAGCCTACTTCTCCTTACTTATCTGATATTAGCTTCTTCTAGAATGGAGTGCCTCTCAGTGGTTAGATTGTCAGAACTCCAGGTGGAGGCACCCGAACCCTAATCCCATTTTTACTGTTATTAACTTGGTATCCAAGTGTTGAGAAATATTTTTCATCTCATGCGTTTCTATTTGTAAGACAGGAAAGAAACTTCTATCAAGGATTTCTTGCTTGATATCATGTCCTTACAATTGAAGGAGGTACAGAGAAAAGAGTCAGAATGGAGTCAGAATGCTGAGTTGGAATCTTAACTGTGTGACCTCGGTAAGAACACTTTATTGTTGTGAACACGCGGTGATCTATGAACCGTGTTCAGCTCTACCTGCAGCAGGGTCCTTCTCCCCCTTCCCCAGCACACCAGGGACATTTGTGGGTGGAATCTGTGACTTTACAAATAAGTAACCAAGTAAATAACTGGGTTGTAGACCATCAAAATATAGTTACGTTTTGAAAATGTGAGAGATAAAGCAAAGCAAAACAAAACACCCTTTACCATGCTATATGGCCAGTATCTTACTCTGTGAATTCCTGTCTCTATACAACATACCTACTTATAAAACTTTACATATTAATCTCACCAGTACTCAGGTTTGCAGCTGACACATTGGACTGCTAATCCCAAGGTCAGCCGTTTGAAATCGTCTGCTGCTCCGAGGGAGAAAGATGAGGCTTTCTACTTCTGTAAAGGGTTACAGTCTTGGCAACCCACAGAGGGCGTTCTACACTGTCCTATAGCATTGCTACGAGTCAGAATTCACTTGGTGAGAATAAGTTTGGTTTTGTTTTTAAGCAGGGGTTAAAGCTATATAAAATTCAGCTCATCTTTTCCCTGATGTCAATATAGCCCAAATGTAGAAATATAATACTTATTGAAAGAAATAGGGTAAAACAAGAATAAGCAATGCACTTCAGTGCCTAGATGGGCATTAGATGTATCTAAGTAACTTTTCCAAAGAGATCCTTCATTAAATGGGTCTGAAGTGTATCCTCTGAACCTTGTGAATTTTGTAGGATTTGAATAATATCTAATTCCTCTGATTATAAACACCAATGATTCTTCCCAAGAGAAATTTGATTTGCCTGCATGAAAAGGAATTATGGGTGCAAATCATCAATCTTTAATTTTCTGGTCCTAAAAAAATTTTTCCTTTTTAACATTAAGTAAGAAAACTACAATATAAAAAAATTTTGTTTGAACATTAAGGAAGGAAAATCAGTACAATAGCCCCCTCTAGTGTGGTAGAAATGTCCCAAGAGGAGGTGGAATAATCACTTTTTATTTGTAGTACTATAAATGTCCTCACGAGAGTATTCTGTCGTCGTCTAGCCATATGGCTTTTTGGTCCCCCCCAAAACTATTAGCCGTATAAAAGTGGTCAATTTTCCCATTTGGGGGTTTCATTTTCCTTATAACCAAGTGACTAAAAAATGTAATACTGAATAATCTATGTTTAATATAGGAAAGGACAAATATAGTTGGGTTCTTTTATGGAAACTGGGATTAACAGAATAGGGACAAGGCTTATCTCTGAATTTACTTACAAATAATCATCAAACTTGCTCAGAACATGGTCCAGGCACCAGAGTGGCTGTACTACGAGGGCACCCTGATTTTGATCGCATCCTGGGTGAGCTAGAAGGGTCTGGAATCCCGCTCATGTACCACCTTGCGGAGTACACCAGGGGCACTGGGGTCGTGCGTGGGCGTCTCATACAGATGTACTTACTGAACCTTCCAGCACTGAGCACTACGCTGTCCCCGGTTTTCTGCTACTGACTAAGAATATAAACAAAAGCTTAGAGCTAAATGACACCGGATGTGTATTAGTGCTTTGAAGAGAGAAGGGGGTTGTTTGATAGAGAATAATGGCTACATGGGGCTGCTTTAGAGAGAGCAGGGGGGTGAGACCAGGCTTCTTTTCTGAGGTGACATTTACCTGGAGTACTGAAGGGGTGGGGGGAAGTTCAAGAATATTTTTGGAAAGACTGAGAAGGAACACGACCTTGTGTGTTCCAGGAACTGCCAGAGGTTAGACTGAGAAGGATGAACAGAGTGGGCAAAGTCATGAGCCGGGGTGGGAAATTCATGCAGGATAGGTTATGTCCCGCTTTGGAAGTCTTGGAGAGAAGTTTGTATTTTATTCTAGCTGTTCCGGGAAGCCATGAAGGCCTTTGTAGCGTATGGAGAGTAGGGGCCAGTTTAGTTTCAGGAGGACTTTGACACCTCTGTGAGGCAGAGAGGAGGAATGTATGGGAGGTAGAAGACACACAAGAGATGCTCGGGGCTAACTTGGGATGGCAAAAGGGAAGTGGATGGGTTTGTGCGACTCCCCAAGCCCTGAGAGTGGAAGAAATGGAGTCCAACAAGGGGTTTGTGAGTGCTGGATGAAGCATCACACGGTTTCCTGAGATGGAGGACCAATGTTAAAGAAAATAGAAAAGCGTTTAGTTAACACGCTCAGTTGAGATGCCTAAATATCATGCAAGGGGACGTGCACAGTAGGGAGCTGAGCGTATAATTTAGGGCCCCGAGAAGAAGTGTGACTTCATAAACACAACTGACTAGGCAGGTAGCATAGGAAATAGGGGCACAAGAGGCCACTTGTTCTGCTAATCAAGCTCCCTTAAAATGCTTCAGAGCTTAACCATTCTAAGCACATTGTTTGAAAGTCCAGAAATTAGAATTAGAGGGGTGGGGGGTAGGAATGCTCACCCTCACAGTTAATCACTTTGCTAGACCAATCGATATTTTAGTATGTTAATAGCTTGTTCTGTGCGCACAGCGGAATCAGCCAAATGAACACATTGAGCGCGGAAATGCCAGTATTGCTGGAATGTGCTGTTCTTGAATGGACATTAGCCAGTTAATGGACTTTAGCAAAGCATCTGACTGGCCAACTTGCTGTCCATGTAGGGTTTTCAAATAATTGATCAACATGACCAATTGAATGACCTCAATTATTTGTTGATGGAGAATTACATAACAGCTGCAGCAGTTACTCATCAATATCGAGTCCATTCTGATTCCTAGAGTCCACAGGACTGAGTTGAAGTAGGATTCCTGGGGCGCTCCTCTTTCTTCTAATATCTTTCTCCTGCTGAGCAGCCCGCAGATTCACACCACAGATGTTTCAGTTAGCTTAAGCACTGCGCCACCAGGGTACCTTCTCACACCATCAGTAACTGCATTTGTAGATAGAGTGTGTGTCCAGGCATTCCTTACTTGAAACGGGTTCTTTCTTACAAAGATAGACGTTGGTTACTATTGCCCACATTCCCAAAAGAGAGCTTGAAGATATTCTAAGTGATCCTAGCAGCTAATATTGATTGAGTGCATTCTGTGTGTCAGCGGCACACACACAAAGTAATCTCTACAACAGTCTGGTGCCGTTACTCTTACTATCTTCTTTCTACAGACAGATAGAGACATAAAGAGTGTATCAGTCAGGAAGTAGAGTTCACACCAGGTTCAACAGAAGACAGTTTATATAGGGAACAAATCACAAAGGTGTTTGATGAGGCTACAGGGGAAACAGGGATGGTGAAGCAACCCAGAGATTAGCAGCAAGAGTGAATTCCTCCTACGAAAGCACCTAGAGAGAGATAGGGAAGGGGTCGGATGACCAGATGTCAAAAAGCGAGGGGTGCCCCATCGAACCACAGAGGAGACTGAGCCCATTTCAGAAACCTGACTCAAAACAGGAGGCAGGGAGAAATCTTCGGAATTCTCTCTGCTTCAGGCCTTCAAATCTTCCTCTATGCCTGCCCCCTGACCAAACCCAAGAGGAATCCTGCTGGTGGAAAGGACGCCTGGGAAGTGTGAGGTGCAGGAGTCCGTCACTGCAGTGCAAAGCAGAGCCGGGTGTGGGCAGGGGCTGATTCTGTGGGTGAACAGCAAAAGGGCAAACTAAGACTGTGTAGAGGTTGTGTGACTTGACTTCAGGATCCACGGCTGTGCGACTTCAAATCTTGAGCTCCTAACCACTGTTATCCTTTAGTTGTTTTGGAGAGAAATAAAGCTTTGAATATGTATCCTAGCTAAATCAAATGAGCTCCCGTTTTATATATGATATATTTATACATGACATGTTTTTATATATTCCATATGGGAAGCTTCCCCCACCCCTACCCCTGCCACCCTGCAGTTTAGCCCTGGTGGTGGAGTGGTTACGCATTGGGGGGCTAACCCCAAGGTCAGCTATTCAAAACTCCCAGCCACTCTAGGAGACAAAGAGGAGGCGTTCCACTCCTGTCAACAGTTACAGGCCAGAAACTGGCAGGGCCATACTACCATGCCACGTAGGGTCCGTATGAATCAGTATTGACTTGATGGTAGGGAGATGCATGCTTGTACATGATATGGAATAAACTCATCGCTTCATATGCATGTCAACGCTAGTGATCGAGGAAGACTGAAGAAGCATCGGTGGTGCTGGCAAGCGTACCATGGAGACTAGAAGAACAAACACCTCTGTCTTGGAAGAAGGACAACCAGAATGTGCCTAAGCAGCACGGACAGGGACACTTCAGCTCAAGTGCTTCAGACATGCTGCTCGGAGAGCCAATCGCCGGAAAAGGACATCATGCTAAGTGAAGGGGAAGGGCCGAGGGAAGGAAGACCGTCCGCCCCACGGACACACGGATGCACACAGTGACTCCAGCACTGGGATCAAACATGACAACTGGGAAGGTGGTGCAGGGTCAGGCAGGGTTTCATTCGGTCGTACACAGGCCGAAACCAACTCCATGGTACCTCACAACAACATAGGTGACGAAGCTTCTGGTTTACCTATTACATAAATCGTATGACTGCACATGACATGACAGGACTTGATATATGGTTGCCTCAACTTCCCAGGCCTCATATGAGCTATTGATAAAGAGTGAGAATGCATGCTTAATTAGGCCAAATCTAATTACGGCCTCCAAAGAACACAAAAGAACAGCCAAAGCAAATGATCAACCACCGCATTTAAAGAGCAGAACCCCTTAGAAGGCACAGCTGTTGGGGGCAGTTGCTCAGGCACACCCTGTCCGTCCTACGACATTCCACACCAGCTCACATGGTCCCCTGGGCTCTCCCTCAGCATGGCTAATGGGATCAAGGGGATGTTCAAGTTATTTACTCAGGCTCTGACGGGGACTATACCATGTTTGCTCCCCAAGAGAACATCTTAAATATATATTTTTTAGTTGGGTTTCCTGAGCAGGTTATTAGAACCAGTCTTTCTGTTCCATAGGTAAAAGAAAGAAATAAAACCATACAGCAAAAACTATTATCTCCCTCTTTTAATATTCTATCTTGCAATGGACGAAAGTAAGAAAAACAAAAGTGCTAAAAACAAACAAGCAAACAATGCATCCCAAGTCCATAAAATATAAAACACATTATTCCATTTACTACCATTGGAAAACAACCATCCCATTAATTAAAAAAAATATATATATATATATTTAGCCCAGGGATTGCATAAGAGAGATGGAAAGCAGGGGGAACCCCAAGGACAGAACACGGGAGAGGAAGTCAGTCTTGGATTCTGGTCTCCTAACCAACACACTGTGAGGTCCCCACCAGGTCAAGGTGATCAGAGCTCAGCGCTCTGACATGACTTTCTAAGAGCACGGAGCTGGTTTGGGGAGCAGCCCCCTCCTGGCGGAGCTGTCTTCTTCCTCGGTGGTCCATGAGTTGCAGATGTGTTATGCTCTAGTCCAGAAGGAAAGAAAATGTCAAGCATGACACGTCCTGTCACTGTCCCCACACTTCTCTTGGTCTAGTTTGTGGGGTGGGAGAGAGCAGGCAGGGTCCGACTGCCTTATGTGTTATTCATTCATGCATTCACTCACCTCTCACTCATTTGAAAAAGCATCTCTTTACTAAATGCTCCCCATTTACTGAGCTGGACATTAGAACCTTGTAGTAGATTGGGCTCAGGCACTGAGGATAATGGTGGCCCTAGTGTAAAAAATCATCAAAATAATAAGGGAGCCCTGGTGGCGTAGTGGTGACCAGTTGGGCGGCTAACCATAAGGCTAGCAGTTCAAAACCACCAGCCATTCCTCAGGAGAAAGGTGAGAACTTTCTACTCCTGTAAAGAGTTACAGACTTGGAAACCTACAGGGCAGCACTACTCTATTCTGTGGGTTCATTATGAGTCAGCAGGGCCTTGATGGCAGTGAGGGAGTGTAAAAAGGTTTCAAGCCTAACTGTAGTCCCACTTCAGAAAGAGAACGATGCATATTTCATCCCCCTTCTAGGCCACAGTGGCCTCAATTCTACTCAGGAAGGAAACGGATGGCCCTATAATGTGCTCCTTTTACACTGCCCTTCAGCATCTCCCACGACAGGAGGTTGACATTTTAATGGCAATACGAGAGCTCGGAATAAAACCATCTTTTGATGATACATTTAGCTAATGCTAAATTATAATAGAACCCTGGTGGAAGTGACATGACATCCACATAATTAGAGGGCAAGTTCTTTCTGATCATTGCTATTACCATCAATATCAAATTAATTTACACTCATGGACCGCTTGATGTGCAGTGTTACCAAGCACAGATTACGTTTTGTTTCCTGGCTCTGAGAATCACAGAGGTAAATGCATCTGTGACCTACGGCCGCCTTCCCTTCCCAGCTGCCCTCCTCTCCTTTCCCCCTCCCCGCCTCTCTATTGATTTCCATTTAATTATAACATTCTGCAGCAAAACGCGAGAGGAATTAAATGGCAGAACTCTGTGACAGACACAAGGCTGGTCAGCCCTTGAAGTCACTTGAGATAACCCGCAGGGAGAGTCCTGCATAATTCTGGAGCTCAGAGTGCGTCTTCAGAGAGAATTATGTTGGCAGCGAATCGGCCTTGGATGCTTGGGGGTGGGAACAGTGGTGCGAGGGAGTTCATATCATCTTTGTCCTCCACCGGCACGCAGAGTTTGATGGAAGCTGCTAGCTACGTGGAAGCTCAGACAGCAGGAGATGGAATGAGCCGCCCTCTTCAGCACTGGAGGGCCTTATGACTTGAACTGTGTGTCCCCCAAAACGTGTGCTGTAAATTTTAACCTGTGGACGCTGTGCCCAAGAGTATTTTTGGTATGCTAGTGAAGCCATGGTCAGTGTACAGTGTGCATTAAACCTCATCGCTTTTGAGATAGATGAAGTGCGGATTGGTGACTGAAGCAAGCCAGCATAAGCGCGGGAGCGAGAGATGGTGCGAGGCCTTCTGCAAGCAAGGCTGGGATTCAGGAAAGGCTGCGACCAGGACTTTTCCCAGAGGGGACAGAGAGGTGTCAGCTAGGATTGGGGGCCTGAAATCTGACTTCGAGCCTCCTCCATCGTGAGAAAAGTAACCCTTTTGTGGTACTTCTGTGAGAGTAACACTAGCAAACTGCAATCTCACCTGTACTTTCAACCCTCTTTGTATTCATTCAGCACACATTGCTCCAAACCTATTGACACGGACTCCCTGCTGACGTCTGGCGGCTCCAGGTTTTCTCTAGGGTGGCACCGCTCCATTGGGTTTTCTGGACTGTGGTCTTCACAGAAGGAAATCACAAGAGCTTTTCCCCCTTGGCACCACTGGGTGGGTTGGAATGACCACACCTTTAGGCTAGCAGCTGAGAGCAAACCGCGGACATTACCAGGGGCTAACCCATATTTTTCAAACTCTCTTATAAGCCAAGCTCTGCGCTCAGTGCGGGAAGCCTTGCATCAGGATATAGGCGCTGAAGGGCTATCCCGTAGGTTGAGGTCATTAAATGCTGATTGCGTCTAGGGCTTGGTGTGTGATCATTAGAGCATCCATCTGGATCTAAAGTATTTCTCATTTTTTAGTAACAAGTGGTTTTAGAAATAGATATAACCCACGGTGTCCTCAGAGCGTGTCTGCTGTTTCCCCTTAAGTCTGCCTGGAGAGCAACCAACCATTTCTTACACAGAAATGGCTCCCTCCTGAAAGGTTTTTTATAGGCTCTGCATGCCCCTTATACAATTTCTTTTTATAGCTTGCTGTTTTTTTAACCTTTGTTAAAGTGCTACTTTTTCTTGTGTGATATATATATATAT